AAATGCTAAATAAATATTTATATGTTAATATTAGAAAATAAAACATGTTACATTTAACTCCTTTTTTTTTTCTTTTTTTTTTTTCTGAAAGGGAAACATTAAATTTATTACTAATGAAGTGCAAGGAATTCTTATACCCATAACTCGAAAAAAAATTGTTACAAGTTAATTTCACAATTCACCCTTTAATCCACAAAAGACCTATAACATATTAATCTCTCATACCTCAAACATTCAACTGGGTTGCCGATCCATTCTGAAAAAGAGATTCTCCACCCCCACAATGTTACTTTGCCCAATAGAATGATCGAATGTGTACCAGCTCAAAAAATCTATCCACATGTGGATCCTTCTTATGAAATACCTGATCATTCCTTCCTAACCACATGTCCTTATTATTGCAAACCAGATGATGTTCCAGCAATTATCCAGTAATTTAGAGCCCCCAAGCCACTTATGCTGATCAAAAACATTAATACACGAGTTACCCAAAACAAAATGTTTACCCCACCACCTGTAGCATTTCATCCATAAATTAAATGCTAAATCACAATTAACAAACAAGTGGTCCATTGTCTCAGAAGAAAAACCAAACCAAGAGCAACTTAAATTCGAATGTGCTTCCAAAATCCCCCAAACAGATAGATTAACCTTTGTAGGGAGTCTATTTTGGAGCAATCACCAACAAAATGCACTTACTTTTAGTGGAACAAAGGCTCTCCACAACCTTTTATAATCCAACGCTTGGCAGTCCGCTTTATTTAGGAGCCATGTATAAGCAGATTTTGTTGAGTAATTATCAGAAATTTCCAGATTCAATCTCCATTGATCCGTTTTGTTCTGAACTGGAGGACTCGTGTTAAGCACATCAAACAGCTTCCTCTCCATTTCCTCCTCCCATGCTCAGAGTTCGCGGCACCATGATAGTTTCCAGCACCATCTACCTTCAATCCAATGCCCCATTTCTTGAACATTGCAGTTTTGATCTTTAGCTATCAAAAATAAATGAGGAAATATGTTAGATAATTCCTGTCCTCCTACCCAAACATCAGTCTAGAATTTCACCTTTCTTCCCTCTCCCAACCTTACAGCAAACCCTGAGCTCAACCAATTTCTCTTCATACCCAATCCCTCATCCACCCTACACACGTCCATCCACCATTTTGAGCCTGAAAGTCTACCCTTCCTCACCCATGATAGCCAATTCCCCTCATTTTTCCCATATTTCTCAAACAACACTCTTTTCCTCAATCCCCCCTTCCCATCTAGCAACCTTCCCCACCATTTTCCTAGTAATGAAGGGTTGAAACATGAAAAATTTTTGATACCTAAGCATCCTTCTAATTTGTTCTTGCACACCCTCTCCCATACATCCCATCCCACCTTCCTACTCTCCTTATTGCCCCCCATAAAAATCTTCTCCTAATTTTATCTAACTTACAAATAACACTCTTAGGAAGGAGATAAAAAGACATTAAGAACACCAATAAACTAGACAGCACATAAGAAAGACAATGAAATTAAAAATTATGCCGAATAATCATTTTGACTGACTGTACATCTTGCATTTGGTTTTCATATTTTCTTCACAGCCATGTACCACCCTTCTCAAACAACCTCAGTTCCTCCATTGCAGCTTTCCTTCCTTGGGAATTTGCTGCCCAAACAAATTTTGGAGGTTTTGCAACTAAGTTGCATTTTCTAAGTAAATAAAACAAGGATTTTGGTACCTCAAAGTGCTGCTTCATCATCTTTTTCATCTTCTACAGCTTCCTTAGGCTAAAGATTTGGCTACTTGGTCATGAAAATGACTTGATGCAATGTTAAGTACACTCTTGGTCCCAACCTGCACCTTCATAAGCCATCCTTGCCTTTCTGGACTAATGTTGTAGTATAAAAACACCTTCCATACCAGCAACATATACAAAACACCATCAAACTAGCCTCTTTTGCTCATGCTTCTTACAAATCTTCTGCCTCAATAAGATTGAAGGACGTCAAGTTAACCAAGCCATTTGGGTTTGGTCAGAGTTTGTGGTGATAGATTTCCCTCAAATCTTTCTCACACAAGCCCTCAAAGATCATGAAAGGCTCTAAAACCAGGTTGATTTTTTTTTTTTTTTATTTCACAAATAATTGGAGAGAAAATCTAGAAGAAGTTGAAGAGAAAAACATAAACTAAAACGGAAAGATGTATAACACTCCAACTTAGATTTTCTCATTTGCTATGTATAGTAGAAAACAAACCTAAAAACAATTAAAAAAGTTTCTCATTTTGTCTTAGCAACTTTTCTACATTAAAAAGCAATAATAAAAGTACATTTGAAACAAATAAAAGGCAACCAGTTTTGTTGCAGGCTTGCTGTGATTTTGCAGCCCTTTATTTGCATTTCATTTTCTGTTCATCGCAGCTTCATATCATCAACATTTGTAACTTAGCTTGTTGCACATTTTTGCTATCATTTGACAGCTTCATTTGTATCATATTTGTAGCTAAATTGCTGCTATATTTGCTGTCAAATTGTAGCTTCATTTGCTGTCAATTTTCAGCTTCATTGCTACCATTTCAGGGTAGTTTCATTTCAACATTTTACAGGTTTGAATGCCACATTTCTAATAATATTTCCAACAACAAAGACAAAAGAAAGGAAGGTATTTAACACTCCAGTTAGACTACAATCGAACTTTGAGTTGCTAGATAAACAATGGAGAAATATTGGTTTTGTTCAACTCGCAAGTTTCACAAGAAGGTAAAAAGATGACAAATTGATTAAATTGTTCTAAGCAATTCATTAAACTCTGTTCCCATATAAAATGATTCTGAACCACAGAAACTAAGTTTCTTGAAAAGCATTTAAATTTTGAGATAAATGAAACATTTTTTTGGTACACATGTTAAGATAAATGATGGTTGCCAAAGAACCAAATATTAAACACAAATAAATCAGATGAATAAAGTAAACCAATTTCAATTAATGAGCGTCTTCATCGTCAGAGAAAGTGAGAAACGTGAGAAGCTCATCTTCGAATTAATTGAAAACAAAAAAACAAAAAAGATAGCCCATTCTCAAAGCAGCAACCCAAGCTCAAACACCCTACCCCCAAATAAAAATGTGAACTTGTACCTGCTCCTGGAGAGTTTCAGCAAGATCAAGGTCAGCGTTGACCTTACTAAGATTAGTAAAAAGAGTTCTGACGGGGACTGACGTGGAGCCTCTTCCCGTTCATGCTCCTCTTCCTCCTCACTTTCGACATTGAGATCATTGTTGTCACAATAAACGTTAAGGTTTTCTTCTTGTTTGTTCATGGTCTTGGCTCCATCTCCAAACCTTGATTTCCCGTTGCTATTGCTGGTGCAGTTGTTGTTCTCCATGAGATTCCAATCGATTTCTTATTCCAAACCGACAGAGGAGAAGGTGGGTAACATTCTAGAGGTAGGGATTTGTAATAATTTCTGGGGTATATATCGGAGTGTTGGTTGTAAATATGTGAGGGAATGGTGGGCAAAATAGGAAGTTGACAATTTTCATTAAAGGTCTAGAGAAGCTCACCGAAAAGCGTGAATTCTTTGCTTCTCCATTTTGCAATTATGAAAAGCTAAAAATGCCTTTTCATATGCTGGAAGCCGTGCTCATTTTATAAGTGTTCGGCGCAACTTGTGATTCTATAGCTGAGAAGGACTTCTCAGCAGCTTCACCAACCACATTAAGTTGGTGTTTGGTGCAGCTGGTCGGAAGACCGTTTGAAGTCCAAAAGGTCCAACTGCACCAAACACCCTAGCTTTTGAGATGAGCTTCAGCTCCGAGAAGCAAAAGTTAGCTTCCACCTTTTGAAAATAGAGAAGTAAGGAATTTGAAGCTTTTGCGGGAGCTTCCAGCTTCCAATTAATGAAATTGACGTGCTATACCTATTTTACCCTTATATATTAATAAATTTACGACTAAAACCACTATATATACCTCCTCATTTATAACCCAAACCCTTTTTTTTCCTTTTCCATCTCCCGATTTCCTCTGTTCCAGACCATTTACTGTTGCTTCCATCTCCTTCTTTCGATCTCTTTTCTTCTTCATTCTCACCCAAAAAGTACTTCTGCTTTGCTTATCTTGATCTTGCTGCTATATTGAAGCCCAATTTCTGACATCAATCCTAGATCTAGTGGTGTGCTCAGACCCAATCGGTGACCCAATCGGTGACCCAATCGGTAAGTATCTCCTTCTTTGGGTCTTTTTTTCTTCTTCATTCTCATCCAATTGGAATGATTTACCTTATCCTGATCTTTCTGGTCTATTGAAGCTCAGTTTTTCGACATCAAATCCCAGATCCAGTGTTGTGCATCAATCTTTAACCGGTAAGCTTCCAGATCGAGTGGTGCGATTCCAAAATGATGACAATCTCCCTCTTTTATTAATTTATTTAATTCTGCGTATGATGTTAGAAATGTTAAAATAAATGTGGTAGATTATTTGGAGGAAGAGGAGTGCAAGGGGCCACGTTAAACCCCCAAGCAAGATTGGCGTCCTTCAATTTTATCTTTGTTTTTGTTTTTGATCGGCTGAATTTTCAGATTGCATCTCCAATCATGTTGTCCCTCTGTTTCTAACTTTCTTTCCATCAAAATATCTAGATCACTTTGTCTTTCCCTGTAATTTTCCTTTCCTGCAGAAGTTTTATATTAAATTCATTAATTTTAGATTATATATTCTTATTTAACTTTGAGAAAAAAAAATAATTTTATTCATCATTGTATTTGTTTTATAAATTTCGTAAGGTACAAGGTTTTATAGAATCTGTTGAAAAACATATTGTAATATCCCAAAATTTTGGGAATTTTATCAATTAAGTTGAGGACCTTTGTGTGAGAAAATGTTATTGAGGGGCTTAATAGTCAAATTTTAAAAGTTGGGGGACTAAAAAGAAAGAAAATTAGGATAAGGATCAAGCTTAGATATTTTTCTTTTCTTCCTCATTGCCCGCGTGTCTGCTCTGTTCTTCTTCTCGATT